ACTCACCCATCCATGCGGTATAATCGATAAAAATTCTTACTCCCAGCAAACACACCAAACTAAGTTTTTACCCCATTTAAAAATTCTGACCCTAGGTAGCGTTGTAAGAAATGCTGAGGTGTTCCGGAGAGAAAGGTTTTGTCTGTCGGAACGTCCACATAAACTGCTAATGCTACTCAAGAGGATTTCAGGGAAAATTCATGTTGTGGATGATCTACGTAGCCCATAATTTGTATGAAAATAAACTGATATTTATCGCTTATATAACAGCTCATTGTAAATAACACGTGGAGGTTTTGAAGAAACTTTATCTGATTTAAACATTTTTGACGTGATGCTAACTTAATGAAACATACAAACTAAAAAATACGTAATATACAACGATGGAAAATCTGGAATCATGAAAATAATGTAATTTCACTTTTTGCCTTCAATTGTATACACAACCTCGATCGGTTTGTTATATTTAAATGTGTGTCTTTCAGAATCTTTCAAAATATAATTAGAATTACTATTTAGATTTACTAAATTTATATTTATCTAATGTATTCTCAGTTTTAATAAGGTGTTGGTTAGCCCGTTCTACTTCTCAGCTGTACAAATCTCCGGGAATATTTTCTACTCACATATGAATTATATATAAACACAGTTCACACAAGCTAACTTTTGCATTAATATTCATGCATTATTTTGTGTATCTTATGCGAGTGAAAGTATGCTTTTTGCTGACAAATCTTGGGAAAGACTGGGACATGATTTACAAGAATCCTTGTTCTCATGTAAGTCTATTAAATTAAGCTACATTAAGCTGTGAGATGGTTTACCTTGTGTTTGTTGTATTAAGAAGTATCTTACAAGATATTAAATATTACAGCACAACATTCAAGGAGAAGGAAAACTGAGGAATAAACAGTGATAAAGAACAGAAATGTAATAAAACGGAAGTTACGAAATAGAAGACGGTGAGTATTGGGAGTGGGGGGGGGGGGGGGGGGGGGCAGAAGAGAGGAATTTCTAGGTAGCTGCTAACTCAACTTCCTGTTTCTCCGCGCACACATCAACATCGTATGGGATAGAGAGAAAGATTCCAAATTTGATGACATCGTAGGCTAGACGTGGTCCAAGCCCTTTTGAAGTTTACGAATAGCAGAATCAAGACAAACAAACAAACAAACACTACGATTGAAGGATGTTTTGTACTGTACCTACGGACACAGAGCTATCTGACGGGAAGTCCACAAAACTTCCAATCCACTTTATTCAATCCAATAAAAAGAAAGGTCAATATGTAGTAAAGGAATGCTATAAAGCCTTGTTTTTGTCGATAGCATCTGGCATCTATATTGTGTCTCTTACATACAGTAGCTGGTAACGTAAACAGAAAACATCAGTATAGTCTCTCGTCTTGATTAAGACGGTTTACCTCTGATGTCGTCAGAGGTTATAAACAATATTGCATAGTTGGTCCTTGTTGTCTTTTGTTTATTAATGTTCTGTGACACATCTAATGTGACTTCTGCACCGATAGAATGCTATAAAGAACACCGATCTGTCATCTGTTATTTCTTGCTCTAAAATTAGCGTGCTTTGAAATGCTTAATGACGATTCAATGTGGCGAAGAATTTTTGAACCGGAAGATGGAATACGAGTGGGTAGGAATAGAGTCGTCGAAAGTAACACGTGTTATGATTAATGGTTGGATGGTTTTGTAATTTATGAGTTGGTTGATTTTGAGTGGGATGTGTTGTTTTGTTGTGTCTTATTGTTTTTGTTGTGTCATTTTTTTATTATTTTGTTCTGTCTCTGTGTTGATGTATCTCATTGTTTGTTGTGTCTCATTGTTTTTGTGTCCTTTTTTATTGTTTTGTTCTGTCTCTGTGTTGATGTATCTCATTGTTTTGTTGTGTCTTATTGTTTTTGTTGTGTCCTTTTGTTGATTGTTTTGTTCTGTCTCATTGTGGTGAGGTATCTCATTGTTCTGTTGTGTCTCATTGTTTTGTATCTTATTGTAGGTCACTGCCACCGGGTATAAACCCATTTGCAGTCAATAATAAATAATAATAATATATCAATCAGCGTATCCGGTACAACATAATTATCAAAACTAATGAAACTACAGCTGATATAAGCATCATACATTGAAGAAAGCTGTGCACGAATGTCACGAAGTTTTTCGTGGTTTCTCCCAGACTCTTCAGAAAAACACTACGGTCGTTTTATTCAACAAAATAGAATTATTTCTCAAAATGAATGCAAATTTTTCTATTACTTTTATACTTTGGACCAACATTCATCTTACACAAAACCTACAAAGGATAAGTAATTACTGTTTCCCTGTGCTTATTAACATAAGCTACAACATAATTAAAGGCATTCGAAATAGAAGCTTAAGACCTTTATGTAACACATACGTCATATTTAAAGTTTATACACGATGATGAACCGCCACGGTGGTCTAGCGGTTAGAACGCTGGCCTTATAATCCTGGGGTCTCGGGTTCGATTCCCGGCGGTGCCCGAATTTATAACTTGTGTTGGGCAAGGCCGTGGTCTAGGCAACACGGAGTTTTCCTCCGTGGAATCCCAACAATTACTCCATTCACACACAGAAGAAGGCAATGGCAAACCACTTCTGGATCATCTGCCAAGAACGTATATGAACAGGTCCCAGTCCGAGAAAAGGATGGAAGGATCCTGTTCATATGGACCTGGCGTCAGACACAACACTAAATAAATAAAACGATGATGTTCATAGGGAAATGTATCGTTATTAAATTTATGGTTCGTTTTAAATTGGTATCACAGGACCAAAATGCGACTCTGTTTATCAGTTAATTTCAATCTCAGTTAACAAAAAACAAAGGGACTACTTATAATCTTCCGAATAATTTAATAAATTGGTAACAAAGAAACTAAGGACAGAAAATCAGAACAAAAATATCCCTTTTACAGACAGCCAGTGTTTTAGGAAATTGTGGTTGTGGTTATAAAATTTTGTGACGTAAAAAAAAAGCCATACAGTACTCAGTCTGAAGCCATGTAAAATAATTCACTTAACGAAGCTTTAAGAATATGCTCTTATATTTGAAGAGAAATGCAATTTTACATATATTTCTATAGAAGAAAACTTACAATGCTCTCGGAGTAGTTCTACATAAAGCATGAATGTCAGTCGATAACATTAAATTATTCCCTTTTGGTTGCCATACGTATACAGTATGATACCAAATCTGGTAACATCAACTCTTTTAATCAATTTTAACGAGATCGGCTTCTGGGATGATATTAAAAAATTTAAATATAAATATTTAATACATTTCGGACACCGAACTTTCCTTCATCTTCATGCATGCATGTCTACATACCTACTCTGTGAAGTCCGTAGATAAAGCCAATGTTTATCACTGGCAGATAAATTAAAATATATAAATGTCTTCCTGTCGTTAATAATACCAACTCGTTGCTCACGGAAACATTCGAGGTGGACGCAACACTAGCTAATGTTAATGTTTGCTGGCTGTAAGTTTTTATGGGGATGAACGTCCATAAAATATACAATTTATTTTAAATTAATTTTCAAAAAAGAATCCAAACAATTTGTTTAATAGCAGCTGGGTAGAACTGTGTGAAACTTCATATGACATGGATTATAATCATACCTATGGATTTATTAAATATCACTTCACATTAATTTGCATTCCGTTGTAATACATGGATCACATAAACATTATCATCGAATTACGAGAACTGGAGTTATTAACGAACTAACATGTTCCGAACTTCGAAAGATCATCATGAAGACTGACATTCAAGCGCGTATAACGCAAGTAACTAAAGTGTTATACGATATTTATTTTAAATTTTTGAGAAAAGTTTTCTTTTCCACGTATCTGTAAGAAATATGACTTGTAACTTTTATTTTCCTTGTTTCGCAAACCAGTGACACACATCTCCTTCAAGTGATATATTTTTGATAATTTGAAATTTTTTTGTCGTAATCCGAACACTTTTATCGTCAATCTCCTTCAAATGATAAATTTTTGATAATCTGAAATTTTATTGTCGTAATCCGAACACTTTTATCGTCTAATTATAAACCTACAAAAATACGAGCAGAATGTTATGTTTCCAATGAACATGGTGATAAAACAACTTTATCTTGTTTTAGTCGGAGACTGTGACTAGATGGATAAAGAAGAGAGAGAAGTAGTTTGATCATAAGACACAAGATGTCCTTAATGTAGACCGACTGGAGTTTACGAGCTTGAGAGCTTATTATATTCAAGTTTTAAGTTGAGTACGGTTAAAACACAAAGACCTACTGACTCTGAAGGATAAGAAAAGAACAGAACATACTTATATTTACAGAAAGTCGGCAGGTATATGGAACGTCTAGCTTAAAACAATGAATACGAATTGGTATTACAACTAAGTCTCAGAACGTAATTCGCAACTAAGCACTTATGCATAATTGATGAGTACAGGAGAAAACTTCTGTGTACTTGGTGTAGAAATAAAGTTTTTTTCTTAAAATACTTATACGACGTTCTAATACGCAAGGTACTGGATTAATTTTTAAACACAGGCGCTATTTAAGATTCATTACCGTATTCACAAAAGCGAATATTGTGAACGAAGAAAGACAGAATTTAAATAAATAAAGACGGAGATAAATAAATAAATGTTAAATCGTCAGAAATACGTGTAATAACAATTTTAAGTAAAGGTTATAGATGACCCGACAAAATTTTGCAGGTTATGTACGTCTAGTATTTTCAAAAGAGAATTCATTTTTTATCTTAATTGCAACAAATAAGAGAACTCTTTTTCTGTAATACAAAAACTGCGATATCGGTGGTGTAACAGATGGCAAATAGGCAGCAAACGCTTTGAAGCTCGTTGGCCGCCATATTGATCCATCTCACACTGAGCCACCGTCACCACACGTCTTAATTTTTTTTTTCCATTGTCTACATAATTAGCCGAAACCCCATCTTCAGTTAACCTTTTGCTCTGTTCTGTAATCAACCAATCTCAAAAGCCAGAAAGACAAACATTTATAGACCTGCTAACTTGTGTCTTTTCAGCAGACTTGGCCCAGAGTTTACGAGGCGTTCTCCTAGACGTCCCTGCAGCGGTTCTGACTGGAGACACGGCGAGGCTGGCTTGCGATTACGACCTGGAACATGCAGCTCTCTACTCTATCAAATGGTACAGAGGTGACGAGGAATTCTACCGGTTTGTGCCCAAGGAGTCGCCTCCCACCAGAGTGTTCCCCTTGCCCGGCATTCACGTGGACGTGAGTAGAAGCCACATCATCACTTGTTCTCTGTGTACTGTGTTCAGTCGACCTACTCCAATAGACTAATCGATTGTCGATCGTGAGTGAATTTATCGCTTTGAGGAACGTTGGTCGATAGAACACTTTGTCTTCACTTCATAATACAGATATACGCCAACTATGTCGCTCTGGAAGGCCTTGTTTGGTTGATTGTCGTCATTTAAGGCTTCAGATATACGCTGTATAGCTCCGAGGAACGCGAATTGATATAATTAAGCATTTGACTTCACTCGGGAGTTTTGATATGTGTTAAGATTTCGTAGACTTTTACTCATTGAAGGAGATTTATTGATTGCCATGAACATTTGTAACCAAAGTTATAAATATGCTTCAGACGTGAGCCGGTCACCCAAATTTTTAGGGCCCATCCAGTGGTTAATGTAGTGGCCCCACTTATCCAATAAAATAAACTGTTCCCCATTTTTTATTCATTCCTTAATTATTCTGTTTGCTGATTTCCTTCAACGCTAAAGGCTCGCATGCTACATGCCATTGAAAAAAAGTCAAAAATTTTAAGTACTTTAATACTTTAAATACTAAATACTTTAAATTTTAAATAAATAAAAGAGTATTGGTTATTTTTATATATACATATAGACACTAATTACGAAAAAGAATGTTATACATAAAAACGAACAATTAATTCTCCTTTAGTAGCTATTATATACGAATATCATAAACGCATCCCTTTAGAAAAATAAATATTTTTTTTGGAAACCGACGTATAACTTAAAAATTCTGTCGTCACAAACCAAAGACCAAAGATTATCGGTCAACAGCCTTATTTAATCATTCAGATGACGTGACGGAGATATATAGTTTAATTCTCGATGTATTTGATGCTATTATGTGATGTGCAATATTATAAGTGAGAATAAACTTCATCGGTTCCGTAGCTAATAATTCGCGAGTTCCTGCAAACTATTACGTAGCTTTAAAAGCAATTTTTACAAAAGGAAAATAATAAAAATGAAATGGTTAATACAACATTGTTAGGGGCACATGACTAGACAAAGCAGGTATTAACTTTTTAGAGTTAAGTTCTAGATACATAAAGGCAGTTTTGCTTAGAACTAAACTCCTGATCTCATGCTCTGAGACGCTTATGTAAAAGTGTTAAAATACACGTTAAATACGTTACTTCCTCAGTTGTCCTGTAGTAATTTCACTATTCAAATGTAGTACATCTGTGCGCATAAATTAAGGTGGTTTATTAAAATTTATGTTGGGAAAAAAAAAATGCTCAAAATTATTCGAAGGTATAAACAACCTACAGAAATATTTTTCTCGGTTATTACGAAAAGAAAAATAGCCTATATGATACTTCTGTGAAGCAAATAAAAACAAGTATGAAGACCGAATTTTTTATTTAAACAATTTTAAAAATTATTACCTATATAAAATTTATATATATGAGGACAGTTTAAAATGTAAACAAATCTGGCACATAGTGTTTAAGACTGAATTTAAGTAGTTCGTAATTTTTAAAACTCTAATCTTGTAAAAGTATCCAGATTCTATATAAATGTCTCTCATGTTCTTACAGAATTCCTTATGTTGGTCAACCATATAGAGCGAGTAATGAGTCACAGAACTTCAGTCAGTAATTGATCTTATTAAACAATTTTTAACATTTAATGAGTTGAATGTTTCGGCCTGTATGGGTTACATGAGAAGGTATATAAATACCGCAAATATCGACAATTCGGTTTGTATTGCTGGTAATTTAATCACTCGTTTCGGTTGAACGCTTTAAAAAATCCGGAAAAAAAAATCAGTACAGCCGTACCTATTCATACCTAGAAATAAGAGATAAGTGAGTGACGATGTTTTTATTCACATAGAAGCCGGAATATCGGGAAAAAAATAAATATGGATAATTTGTTTCCACATTTTTACGTACAGAATTTGCTTTCGGCACGTAATAATGAATGATGGGACAATTTTGAAATAATTGAGACTGGGATGAAAGTAGGGATTAGTAGATTTTGAAGTGTCATTCGAGAATTAATCTCGAGTAATTAGGTAACAGAACACATTCAGTCTGAATTTCTGGGCTTTGTGACGCGATCCAAATACGCAAAGCGTATAATGAGCCTATTACTGTTAAGTGGAAGGAAGGATGTGGGAACAGACAAGAACGAGCAGACATTGAGCACGTTAAAGTGCTGTTTACATGTGCACATTTATTTTTATTTTATTTAGTGTTCTGTCTGACGACAGGTCCATATTGAACAGGATCCTTCCATCCTTTTCTCGGACTGGGACCTGTTCATATACGTTCTTGGCAGATGATCCAGAAGTGGTTTGCCATTGCCTTCTTCTGTGTGTGAATGGAGTAATTGTGGGGATGCCACGGAGGAAAACTCCGTGTTGCCTAGACCACGGCCTCGCCCAACACAAGTTATAAATCCGGGCACCGCCGGGAAACGAAGTGGGTACCCGGGGTTAAAGCGCCAGGAGCTATGCAACTCCTGGTGACAAGTTTGTTTTGTTTACACCGTCTGAGAAGCGTCGAAGGAAAAACTAAAATGCGATGAGTCAGGAAGAGTGAAATGGTCATGAAGGGACTGACATCTCTATCAAAATATAAAACATTTACGATCGAGGACAAAAAACACGGGGAACATTGCGAACCTGACCTCAAATTCTCAATGACAAATGTATATTTAGGCAAGTAAATTCATCTACTCCGGGAACAACCCTCGCTGTTTGTTAGTCGTTGACCCTTGCTGCATGACAAGGCACGCACCACGCCCCCCGGCGGAGGAAGCAGCCATTAATTCAAATAGCAAGTGTTACGGCCTGGTACTCCGGGGGACATGGCCCTTTGATCCACTAATCACTCGACTCGGGCTTTGAGGTGGGCCTCAGATATTCAGTGGTAGTGCAGTACCTGCTTTAATCCTGTAGAGCTCTTGATCAAATCCACGACCTCCACAATGATGGCTGCAGGTGTGGATGGAATTCTCGGACCAGCAGTGTCCCTTCTTAATATGTTTGTAACAGATGCAGATTTTGACAAGGGATGGACCTTTAGCATGGGATTTCAGCGTTTCCGGGACAACCAAAGTATGAACACTAATAAAAGTGACTCAGCGATGTTAAAAAGCTGTGACAGGATCGCTTAATGGCCAGTACAAAGTATTTAAATGCGATGTAATCAAAAAATTAGTGTACGTCTGTACCCAGGGCAGCGCGATTGCATCTACAGAAACACGTGTCTGACGAGTGTGAGATTTATTTTTCAAAACTTTTATAAAAAGTTTGAAGTCGAAGCTCGTCTAAATATTACGTATTTAAGGATTCAGTCCGTACCGCGAAGTAAACACAGCTCTTTACCATTACGAAGATCAACTGGTTAACGCTGTTTAAGGAAATAATCGCTGTTTACAGAGGGAATCATACGAAACACACAAATACAAAATGAAGAGCTGTTGATTGTTGAAGCAGGTGGTAGTGTTCTTATTATTCAAGAATCTGTCACAAGAATGTCTTCGAACCCATGTTACTAAACTTTTAATGAGCTTTTACGTGATCTGTTGCTGAGAATTTTTCTGCATTCCCCACTCAATCCTGAAAGGTGATGAAATTCATATAACGATAAGAAGATTAGGATGAGAAGAATATGAGGTTCTGTGTCGCTGAAAATGTAAGATCTGGTTTCTTTAGCACTTCAGAACTTCAGATTTCATTAAATTTACACGAACCCTGGGATCTAGACGGATTTCTCGTCCGTACTTGCAGTAACACTTTGAACGCTCACCTCTCACTGTTCCCAATCAAATCGTTTCCGTGACTACCATCTTCTCTTAGAACTCAATTACAGAGTTCATCACATTTACTGACGGAGCTACGTTTGAACCGCCCTTAGACGTGTTAATCGAGGTATTTTCAACAGGGCAAGATAGTTTGAGACTGGAATAAAAATGTTTTTTGAGTATCTAAACAACGTGGAATTTCATTTATAGATTCCATACACGATCAAGTAACTCACAGTGTCTTGGCGAAGTAATTAGGAAGCTTTTAATGTAAAGTTGACAACGACATGGGATTTAGTTTAGCGGAATGGAAATCCGTGTTTGAAATGTTTCGTTTTTCCTAAGAACCTAGTCTTTATCTGGGCCCTTAACATCCCCTGCCCACTCACGTGAGGGTGTTTTAATTCGGTGATTTTTTGAACTGCGAAAACAGCTAGCAGTTTGATGCCGCTACAATTTGCAATCCTGTATCTTATCAAAAAAACAGTAACCTCGAGAAATTTGACTGTGGAAAGAACTTAACGTTTAGTTACATTTAAAAATTCTGTACTCAGTTTACTGTCTCCTGCAAATTACATTCAAAATAATGTATTATATCTGAACCTGATTATTCAGTGCTTATCTTTTTTTTTAAATTTCACGTACCCCCTAAGATGTCTTCGCGTACCCCAGGATGAATACCACTGGTCTAGAGCCTGTACCCTTATCAAGCGTTTCCTGTGTTATAAGAAACACTTCAGCATATGGAATCGATATTTCAATATCTATCGATGTGTCTGTTGTAAATCCGTTGCTTATGCATAAGCGGACGTGTTAAGACACACGAGATTTATCGTAGTGCATTCATCTCACTAATGTTTAATTCACACGATTTGCAGTTTTTCAATCTTTTACTGACAAACTTAAGACAAAAGTTAGGTACATGTTAATTATTTCAGTAGCTAAACGTTCTGAAATAAATGAATTAGTCTGATAGTTCCCTACGTATTTTTAATATTAACACATTTTTTATAGCTCCGCTAACGTTTCCCATTTGACGGGTGTCAATGTCCTACATTACGTACGAGATCTGTGTTTTCCAAACATATACATGGAATGGACAACCAAAAAACTCCTAAAAGTGCAATGCAATGTACGGTCCACGACTGTAATCTTGGGACTTATAAGGAATGCAGGAAGTCCGTAGCTTTAAAGGCA